AGTAGATGGATAATAAAAATTATTAATAAATCACTGATTAAGATTTCACTCTAAGACGAAGTACGAAACAAATCCATGTAGGCTGGATTCGACTATTGCTGCTTAACTAATTGAAACAATCTACAGAATTCGTAATTAGATGGATGATAACAATTATCAATAAATCATTAAATAAAATTTCATTCTAATGCGAAGTACAAAACAAATTCATGTAGTCTTGAACTGATAAAATGATAGAAGTTGCAGGCTGAAGAAAATTGGTTGAACGAGAGCCTGAACAGAGTTTAATCGGTCTCGAAAACGCGGTGGACGAGGCGTTTAAAAATAATTCACACTCGGCACGTGGCAATGAACAATTTTCTTGCACCTTCGATTGGGAAGGGTCGTTCACACCTGCGAATTTTCCTGATGACCAAGCGAAACCGAACCAGCTGGAATGCAGCTAGTCACGTAGCCGATAGAGATGCGCGAGCAAGGCTTCGAGACGATTCAAAATTGGACGATTCGTAGGCGTGGACCTAGAAACCCGTCTGCGTATTTCCATCGCGGCGGGCCGTCGGGAAAACCATTGAACATCGCGTTTGCCAAAGTGGAAACCGCTTTGATTAGTCAAGTAGGTAACGATTCGTCTCAACAGTTCGCCAATTGACTCATCTCATTTATTATATAAAATATAATACACAGCAAAAGAGCAGTAAAACATGCAAAAATTATTATAAAATTTGTTCTTATAGTTTCATTTTTTAAATGTTTTTATGTAACATTTAGACTGCAGATATTATGCATTTATAAAAAAAATTATATTTGTAGAAAATATATGAAATATTGAAGAATGAGTACATGTATGATAAAACAAATGTCTATCCAAAATGCATTTTTAAATTAATTCTATAAATATTTTATTTCGCATATAAATTCGCAATCATATTATACGATTACATTGATTAAAAGCTGTTTGCCAGGAGAAAGGATCGTTTGAAGCGAAAATTTCGACGCGACGTCTGATATTTTTTTCGAGGTAGACGTGAGAATTCGTAAACGGTTCCAAGACTGAACCGAGCGTAGGTGTACGCTTAGAGAAATATGACCAACGCGTGTTCTATACTATTTTCATGCAAGGCTCCAAGTAAAAATCTAATATCAACTTTACAACATTAAACTATTTATTAAAGATGTAACTTATTATTTATATTTCCGTCTTTTATATGTATGATGCAAATGTATGTCGCAGACTTAGGATTATGAACGGTTGAATGATCTTGAAATTTGTAGCGAAGGTGAAGACCAAGGGGTAATCGAACGTCTCGATGCATCGATTATTTCATCGAGCTGCCCAGTGAGATTACTCATCCTCGTGGATATAGAACCACGACGTGGGTGGCTGTAAACACGAACGCCTCCAAATCTTCTAACTTCGATGCATCTCGAATCAATCCTCTATATTCTTTAATAAAAACTGTCTTTCTCTATTTTTCCAGATTGATGAAAGACGAGAATAAAATCTAGGACGTACTTCGCTTAATTTCGATTTATTTATATTTTATTCTATACTTATAACTCGGTCAAGTACTGCCAAGTTGGAGCTCTTGCGATTTTCACTTATTACAATTACTGATGGATGTAGAGAAATATCAATGGATCGATGGAATTAATTAATTAATCACAGAGAGAATCAGTTCGAATGAATGGCCAGTGTGTTTTCCTTTCCGATGATGAAATATAGGTCGAGGAGCTCTCGCTCGGAAACTGTCCTTCGGACTGCCATCTTCAACGAGCACCTTGCGCTTTACCATTCTCGGACATTTTTAATGACACGTTTAGTCGAAAGTCAGTTAGTGTCAAAAAATTGGAAAAGACCAACTTTCTTTATATATTACTCTGAATGATCATTCTTGGCAGTCGACCTTGTTTACCGATTCGCTGTTTGTGCAATTTCACGCGACTTTATTAATAAACGATAAAAGATTTTCTTTTTCGGTTAATAAAATGTAAGATATAAATAAAATGTAAGAAATTCCAATGAAATCATTTGAATCATACTATATGTATACATATTATGCTACCATTTGAAAGATAGGAGAGTTCATCAGAGAAATGAAATCAGTCTTATTTACACGACTGCTAATACTCTTATTATAATATGTATATAAATACTATTTGAAAGACATTATAGGAGAATTCATCAGAAGAATAAGTTTTGTCTATTTGAACGACTGGCCTTGTAGGAGAGTTTATCAGATCGATGATATACGCGAATATGGGAAACTGTGGAATTTCGTAATGGGTTATGCGGATTTCTTTAAATACACCATATTACGCGAACCCTGTGAACGTGAACCGGGAAGATCCCGACCTTCCACAATCCCCTAACTCGCTCGAAAAATCTATTTCCGTCCGAGATGAAAGCAGCGAAAATGAACTGCGCAGATAACTCGAATCGCGACACTCTACAGATTGAATGAATCTACCAAAAATTATTGTATCCACGCTGAAAAATTTCTAGCTACGCTCGGCTTCGATTTTAAACAGCCTTGGTGCAGGAGCGATCGAATCGAAAAAGATCAAACAGAACTTCTGGCCAGTCGACTCGTTTCCAAACTAGGAACCAGTTCCACCTATCTTGCCATTTTCGGAGAGTTTCATACAGCATTCGGTGCCTGTTTAATCTTCCACCCCGGTTCACTTGAAATTTTATCGTTGAGTATAATTCAAGTGTTTCTCGTTCGCTATAATTGCTAATTTACTTGACAAAAGGAGATAATCTAGGAATTCAAATTCTATTTTGACAGGGGGGATTTGTAAAGATTAAACCGAGGCCACTTCCTTTCACGTTGATAAGAAATCTAATTTGATAATTTTCTTAATATTACTAGTGTAGCATCAAAACTTTTTGAAAAAATTATGATATTTATTGAAATTTGTTTTGTTGCAATTATTGCATCAAAGATCACACTTGAAACTGATATAAATGGTCTAAAAATATAGATTGAAAATCGGAGTTATTAGAAAGCATACAAATTCATAGATGTCGATGGCTTGTGCCTAAAAGTGTTTCTGATGGACGCAGTCAATTTTGGTACTACACGGATCTTCTGTTATCTTCGTTATGAAATATTTTCGAGTAAAAATGCTTGTTTTTGTGTTAGAGGATCCATGGAGAAACGAGGCTTACCCCATGAACGTCGAGGTGCTCATGCTATCCGCTTCGGAGAAATCCGATTAAGCTTCGCGCCGCCTCGTGCCGCTTTCCACCCGGGAACCGGTTTCACCTCTCGGCTTGTTCTCTCTGGCCGTTCTCCCGCAAGGAGATCGTGAGCGAGGAGGTGGAGTAGGTGACGGATACGATATGGAGGAGGACGAGCAGCACCGATACCGACACTAGCGCGCGCCCGCTGCTACTGACGATCATCGCGGATCAACCAGCGTGGACCAGCCTCGGATTCCTCGCCATCTTCCTCTTCGTCACCGCGGCGCGAATGTCTCATGGCGCGAGTACACGAAACTTTTCGATATGAAAAACCAAACGAGGCTTCAACAGCTTTTTTTCCTAAAGGAAGATTCTAAGCTCCGGATAGAAATTCTAAATTTTCCTCTCGACAATTGAACGAAACTAGCAGTGCGTTCAGAGGTAAAAGTCTCGAAACAAACTCGTGGTAAAAAATGATGTTTCCTGATTCGAGAAGGATAGATGACAACAGGTGACTTTCTTTAAATAAAAAGTTCTCGATTCCGTGTGCATAACGTAGGAAAAAGAATGAAATCGGGTGTTGTAAAAAGGTAATGCGGTAAGCATAGTTTCTAAGTTCGATGGAGCATAACTGCAACGCAATTCGTGAATGATCAGTTTCACCATCGATCGGACCACAAGAAGTTTAATTACGAACAGCTTACAGAATAAATTAGTTCTCATGGGGTCGACGAAATTTTAAGTGTCGATGATGACCGAGAGGTCGATTGAGGTTCGATAAGCAAATATGTGCCGGCGATTAATCAATATAATCAAAATCAAGATTCGATTGATTACAAAAAATTTATTAAGAAAATTGATAATTAATTATTTGTTGATATAA